TATCTATTTTAACCACCTTAAGGTGCTGTGTGTGTTTTTTAATAGTACTAAGGATCTTTTATCTTCAAGACAAATATCTAGCAAGACAAATATCAAATTTGCAGCGTTACACCAGGTTTCTTATTTTTTAAAGGAAGCTAACTCATAAAGAAATTCTGAGCACAAAACACAAACTGACAATATACTCTACAGTGGCCTTCGCTGCTCCTGTGCACTTCCCACCCAGGCACCACAGCACGGTCCTCCTACCTAGGGAACTGGCCCAGACACTGTCAGCCAGCTCCATCACCCCTCACTACTCACTGCCTCATTCCCTCACTGCCTCACTCCCTCACTCCATCCCTCCCTCACTTCCTCACCGCCTCACCGCCTCCCTCCCTCACTGCCTCACTCCCTCACTGCCTCACTCCCTCACTGCCTCACTCCCTCACTGCCTCACTCCCTCACCGCCTCACCGCCTCACTCCCTCACCGCCTCATTCCCTCATTCCCTCACTCCCTCACTCCCTCACTGCCTCACTCCCTCACTCCCTCACTGTCTCACCCCCTCACCCCCTCACTGCCTCACTCCCTCACTGCCTCACTCCCTCACTGCCTCACTCCCTCCTTTCCTCCCTCCCTCACCTCCTCACTCCCTCACTGCCTCACTCCCTCCTTTCCTCCATCCCTCACCTCCTCACTCCCTCACTGCCTCACTCCCTCACTGCCTCACCTCCTCACTGCCTCACCCTCTCACTCCCTCATTCCCTCACCCCCTCACTACCTCACCCCTCACTCCCTCACCCCCTCACTGCCTCACTCCCTCACTGCCTCACCCCCTCACTGCCTCACCGCCTCACTCCCTCACTCCCTCACTGCCTCAATGCCTCACTGCCTCACCCCCTCACTCCTCACTCACTCACCCCCTCACTGCCTCATTGCCTCACTCCATCACTCCCTCACCACCTCACTCCCTCACCGCCTCACTCCCTCACTCGCTCACTGTCTCACTCCCTCACCACCTCAACTCCTCACTCCCTCACCGCCTCACTCCCTCATTCCCTCATTCCCTCACTCCCTCACTCCCTCAAAGCCTCACTCCCTCACCACCTCACCCCCTCACCCCCTCACTGCCTCACTCCCTCACTGCCTCACCCCCTCACTGCTTAACCGCCTCACTCCCTCACCGCCTCACCCTCCCACTCCCTCACTCCCTCACCGCCTCACTCCCTCATTCCCTCACTCCCTCACTAGCTCAAAGCCTCACTCCCTCACCGCCTCACCCCCTCACCCCCTCACTGCCTCACTCCCTCACTGCCTCACCCCCTCACTGCCTAACCGCCTCACTCCCTCACTCCCTCACTGCCTCACTCCCTCACTGCCTCACAGCCTCACTCACTCACCCCCTCACTGCCTCACTCCCTCACTGCCTCACCGCCTCACTCCCTCACAGCCTCACAGCCTCACTGCCTCACCCCCTCACTGCCTCACCCCCTCACTGCCTCACTCGCTCACTGCCTCAACCCCTCACTCCCTCACTCCCTCACCCCCTCACTGCCTCACTCCCTCACTCCCTCACTGCCTCACCCCCTCACTACCTCACCCCCTAACTCCCTCACCCCCTCACTGCCTCACTCCCTCACTGCCTCACAGCCTCACTCACTCACTGCCTCACTCCCTCACTGCCTCACTGCCTCACTCCCTCACTGCCTCACAGCCTCACTCACTCACCCCCTCACTGCCTCACTCCCTCACTGCCTCACAGCCTCACTCACTCACCCCCTCACTGCCTCACTCCCTCACTGCCTAACCGCCTCACTCCCTCACTCCCTCACTGCCTCACTCCCTCACTGCCTCACAGCCTCACTCACTCACCCCCTCACTGCCTCACTCCCTCACTGCCTCACCGCCTCACTCCCTCACCGCCTCACAGCCTCACTGCCTCACCCCCTCACTCCCTCACCCTCTCACTGCCTCACTCGCTCACTGCCTCAACCCCTCACTCCCTCACTGCCTCACCCCCTCACTGCCTCACCGCCTCACTCCCTCACTCCCTCACTGCCTCACTCCCTCACCACCTCACTCCCTCACCACCTCACTCCCTCACCGCCTCACTCCCTCACTCCCTCACTCCATCACTGCCTCACTCCCTCACTGCCTCACCCCCTCACCTCCTCACTCACTCACCCCCTCACTGCCTCACTCCCTCACTGCCTCACCCCCTCACTGCCTCACAGCCTCACTCCCTCACTCCCTCACTGCCTCAATGCCTCACTCCCTCACTGCCTCACTGCCTCACCCCCTCACCTCCTCACTCATTCACCCCCTCACTGCCTCATTGCCTCACTCCATCACTCCCTCACCACCTCACTCCCTCACTCCCTCACTCCCTCACTCCCTCACTCCCTCACCACCTCAACTCCTCACTCCCTCACCCCTCACTGCCTCACTCCCTCACTGCCTCACCCCCTCACTGCCTCACCCCCTCACTCCCTCACCCCCTCACTCCCTCACTCCCTCACTCCCTCACTCCCTCACTCCCTCACTGCCTCACTCCCTCACTCCCTCACTCCCTCACAGCCTCACTCCCTCACTCCCTCACCGCCTCACAGCCTCACTCCCTCACCCCCTCACTGCCTCACCCCCTCACTCCCTCACTGCCTCACCCCCTCACTCCCTCACTCCCTCACTGCCTCACTCCCTCACTGCCTCACTCCCTCACTGCCTCACTCCCTCACTCCTTCACTGCCTCATTGCCTCACTGCCTCACTCATTCACCGCCTCACTCCCTCACTCCCTCGCTGCCTAACTCCCTCACTCCCTCACCCCCTCACTCCCTCACCGCCTCACTCCCTCACCCCCTCACTGCCTCATTGCCTCACCGCCTCACTCCTTCACCGCCTCACTCCCTCACTCCCTCACTGCCTCACTGCCTCACTCCCTCACTCCCCCACTTCCTCACCCCTTCACCCCCTCACTGGCTGCTAAAATGCCAACCTCAGCAGGAAGACCTTCCGAGTCCTTTTACCCTAAGCAGCATCTCCGTGTCCCAACCCAGTCGCCTCAACCGCTTTGCTCTGTTGTCACCGTGGCTTACGGCCTCTCTGTTCGGAGCTTGTCGCTCCTGGTGCTGCTGTCCCCTCGCAGTGACGCAGCTGAGTCCTGAACCGTGGATGCCAGCACATAACACTGCATTAGCTCTGTCCATCGCAGTGCTGGTCGGACTCTTAGGGACACGGCTCCAGAGAGCCCGTCTTTCCAGCCAGGCTGCCTCCTCCGGGCACCGGTCTGGGGTGCAGAGAATGTGTGGCTCCAGAGGGTAAGTGTGAGGCAGGGGCTCCCTGGGGGGTGGGGGGCCTCCTAGCAGGAAGTCGCTGTGCGGCTCACCTGAGCCAGGCTAACAGCGGCTTGCTCCTGTAGATGCTCCTTACACTTTACATCGTTCCCTCATCGACCTTTCCAACAGTGCCTGTCCCTGCGAGAAGTAGGGTCCTCCCAGTGGGAGACACGTGCAGGGCACGAGGGCCTGCAGCTTAGTGATGGGGACCTGAGCCACGCAAGACGAGCACCCGCTGTGTCGCACGCTCTGGGCCCTCTCTGGGGCCCAAACCTCTCTCCTCACGCCCTGCATTGCCCCCCACTGAGAGGACACCTACTCCACACCACCAGGCCCGCGCTCCCATCCCGGAAGCACACACCGCCCAGCCGTCAGGAGTGATTTCAAAGTTAACGTATAGTTTCTAAAACCGTCAGTTACAAAGACATTGAACTTCTGCAAATATTCATCCCAGGTGACTGGTTTCTCAACACGCAGCTGAAATGGAAAACCGCTCCGCAGGCCCAGCCTAGCCTGGAGATGAGGTCTCCACCCAGTCCATTCACCACACCGAGCCCTTCCCCCACGGGTGCCACCAGGCGACCTGGGGACCACTGGAGGGAAAGGAGAAGACGGGAGGGAGGGCCTAGAGGCTGAGGGTCTAGTCTGGTCCGGTCAGTTGCAGCCCCCCATGTGCATTCCTGAGGCCTCAACTCCCCAGGTTTGGACTAGAGAGCACGCCCTTCCCCCTGCTCTGCCAAGTCCCCGTATGACGTGAACCACTGCTCTCTGACTGTTTTTCTTTCTTTCTTCCTTTCTCTCTTTCTTTCTTTCTTTCTTTTTTTTTATTTTATATTTTATTGATTTTTCTTACAGAGAGGAAGGGAGAGGGATAGAGAGCTAGAAACATTGATGAGAGAGAAACATCGACCAGCTGCCTCTTGCACACCCCCTACCGGGGATGTGCCCGCAACCAAATGCACATGCCCTTGACGGGAATTGAACCTGGGACCCTTCAGTCCCCAGACCGACGCTCTACCACTGAGCCAAACCGGTTTCGGCTGACTGTTTTTCTTAGCACCAACTCCCTTACTCGGACATTTTATTTTAAAAGCAAACTTTAGTCACCTTTGGAGCATAATAATGAGCAACTCATGGAAACTGTTCAACAACAGGACAGATCCAGCATTCATCCTGCCTTTCCCACGTGAACCGCACCCCTGGGGAAGCAGGCACAGAAGAGGGCGTCCCAGCCTTTCTATTAAAGGATTCAAACTAACAACTGCAGGAGGGGCTCTGCCCCATCCGTCCCTCACCCCCCTTAGGTGAGGAGGCCACGGTCTGGTTTAAGCAGGGACAAGGCTAAGCCGTTCGTACAGGGCGTGCTTGCTCTCAGAGTTGGAGTCACAGTCTACAGAGGCTAGTGCACAAATGTCCCCTCTCGGGGGTCACAGCTCTGAGCTCACACCTAGGGGTCCTCCGAGGGCTGTGTCCTCAGGAACCCCTCCTCCAAGGAGGTCCGGGCCACGTGGGGAAGGTACCGGACCCCCGCAAAGGGCCCGGAGGGCTGCCCACGGGCACGAGCCCAGGGCAGCGCATCTCTCAGCACCCTTCTCTGGCCCCAGGGTCCCTGCCATCATGGGAAGCACCGAACGCACTGACAGGCGGAGGTGGAGCGACCCCTCCCCCCCCCTCCGCCCCGTTACCATGGTCTGGAAGCAGGAGTGCAGCTGGGTCAGGAAGGGCGGCTTCCCGGGCAGGGCCAGCACCCGCTTCTCCACCATGGTGCACTCCACGTCGTCGTCCTGGATCACCACGTCCTTCTTCAGGATCTTCACGGCGTACAACTCGTCCGTGCCCTTCCGCTCGGACAGCATCACCTGGGGAGACACAGCAGGAGGCTGGGTGGGGGCCCGGACCGGGGGAGCTGTCCGTCACAGCCTCCCGGCTCTGTCCACGGGCTTCCACCGACACTGAACACCCACAGGCCTCACACTCGCAGTGGCTCCATCCATCACAGGCCGGTTCCAGAGCAGCGGCCACGGAGCGGGCCCTTCGGGATGCGGGTCAGCACCCAGCCATGGGGCTAAGGTAAGCCCGAGGGCAGGCATGTTTGCCTGTTTTGTTCCCTGGTGTAACCAAGACCCTGGCATAGCCCCTGGCCCATAGTAGGTGCTCAATAAATATTTGTGGGAAGAGGAGATTCCTGATCAAACGAAATATGGGGCTCTCATTCCCTTATTCTTTTAATAGTCATCACGAGCCTGTAAGCTCGGGAACGGCAATGAGCCGGCAGGAACATGCTCTGACTTTGTGCTCCGGAGCAGGGGAAAGACCTCAGACATGATCACAGGACGGTGAATGGGGTTTGTCAGTGCCTCTCCTGTTGTCCTGGGACCTCCATCCATGCAGCCTGGTCCGTCGGGGCAGGTAATCACTGGGTGGCTCAGGACACATCAATATTGCCACTGGTCAGGGCTGTGCCAGAGGGAGCCGTGACCAGCAGGTACCATTCCCTAGGAGCCTCTAAGGAAGAACCTTCTGATTGGGCAGTGGACCCACTTGGCCATAGCTGATTGGTAGATGGCCAGCCTAAGTTGAGCCAATCAGATTCTCTCCCTAAGAATTTGCAATTAGGAAACTCCAAGCAGTCAGTCCTGGCCCTGGGAGAACACAGAGCTGCCACAGTGGTTCCTTTCACCACCTGCGGGCGAAGAAGGACAGAACAGACGTGTGAGGAGGAGGAGGTCGGAGAATGAGCGGACGCCTCACTTCCCAGCTCCTGATTCCAGCCTCTCAGGAGGCTCACTTGTTTCCACTAGAAACCTCCCTATCCCTCCAATAAATCATCCTTCTCATTTAAATTAAATCAGTCTGGCTGCATTTATGTTTCTTAGAGAGCCTACAAGACAAGTTATTGCTGGAATAGCTCAAAATCTTAATGAAAATAAAAAATTCAGGAAGCCCTTTAACACAAGGCAAATTCCTTTCTTTTGTAAAAACTACATTTTTATCGATTTCAGCAAGGAAGAGAGAATAAGTGATACAAACGTCAATCATGAGAAAGAACCACTGATCACCTCCTCCAGCACACCTCACACTGAGGATTGAGCCCACAACCTGGGCAGGTGCCCCTGCCCGACTGGAAATCGAACTGCGACCTCTTGGTTCATAGGTTGATGCTCTACCACTGAGCCACACCAGTTGGCGCAAGTTCCTTTCTTTATAAAGAGACAGTGCCTCAGGCCTGCAAACTACCAGCACAGGGACTGGGAAAGGATCCTAACTGATAAACTCAGATGGTGCATCTGGGAGGCAGGCAGGCAGGCAGGCAGGCAGGCAGGCATTCGGGATCACCAGGCCACTAACTTGGCTGAAGAGGATCAGTGAGGTGCCATGAGCTGAGGTGGGCCTGGGAGAGAGAAGCTGAAGCCAGGTGTGCCGGCTGTGGGCCTTCAGGGGACCCCCGCCCATGCCTCTCTAGGGAGCGGCTTGTGGACAAGGCTGGGTGGGTGCAGGGCTGGGGGCTGACCCACTGCCAGGCCTGTCCCCCCCTCTCCTTCAGGGTTCCACCTCTCTGAGGGACCCTGCTCTGGAGCCGGCTCCTGCTTGGGTGCCACCCAGTCACTCGGAAGACCTGCTGGGTACTTGGGAGAGCTCAGTACTGCGCTTGGCAGGTGCCATGCCTGTGCCCCTGCCTCCGCCCCCATCCCTGCCGCACTGGCCGAGCTGCTCGCGCCCCTGACTCTGTTCCTGCAGCTGCACCTCGGATTCCAGGAGGTCTGAGGCAGAGCCTGCGCACTCCACATCTTCCATCAGAGCTCTGAGTACAGGGCCTTCCTGCCAGCCAGGCCCCTGGAGGCCGCAGGGAGCTGGCAAGAGCCCCAGCATAGCACTGAGCCAGGGGAGTGAGCATGGGGCAACACCGCCCGCCTGCTCTGCCGGGGCCCGCCACCCTCCGGAGGGGGTCTAGAGAGGATCTGGGTGCAGCTGGTTACAAAGTGAAGGTTAGCTTGGGCACCCTCCCTTGGCAGGTATCCTAACAAGCTAGTCCAAGTAAGACTGAGATGAAGACGTCACAGAGTCTGATCAGCTGGAAGCTGATATCTCATTAGAACCTAAAAATCACAGTAGGAACAAGTTCTGCTTGTTCAAACCCTAACTCTGCACTTACTGTGTGATCTTGGAGAGGTTGCTCAACCTCTCTGAGCCTCAGTGCCCTTATTCTTACAGGTGCATAACAATAGATCCTCCCTCATGTGAACAAGTGACATATGCAGGCACAGCTCAGTGCCCAGCACACAGCAGCCCACTGGTACAGCGGGAGCATAATTATGAGATTAAGAGGGACGTTCCTACTCTTGTGAGATGACGACAGACAGTGGACCAGAGCACAGACCAACACTCCTGGCATCTGTCTCAGGAGGTCCTCAGAGCCCGGAGCCAGAGGAAGGCCGTCCAGTCTGCCCAGAGGCGCCGGGCAGGGGCCTCCCAGAGGCGCCAGAGGGCTTCCGCGGGGCTGCATGCCCAGCACAGGCAGGACTTCCTGTGGAATCAGCAATCAGTCGGTCAACTTCTACAATCCCAAATTGGGGAGGGGCTGGGTGGCTTCCAGGCCCCACAGGCCGTCTTTTCTGGCACGGAGATTTGCCAGGGCCCTTCCTCAGACCAGGCAGGGGCAGGGGCTGGCCTCCGCCACCCTCCCGAGAAACAGGCCTGGCACGCGGGCAGGAGATCTTGCAGCAGCTGGAGGTGGGGCGAGATGCAGGCACCAGCCCGTTAGCTCACAGGGCACAGGGAGGGCGTGACACAGACAGAGCTCGGTGCACCTCCCGGCTCTCCCAGCTAAGGCTCCCCTCCCTGCAGGGTCCTCACATGGTCTGGGCCGTCTTTTCCAGCGTTGTGAAGTCACTTTTATCTAAGTCCTCTTGGAGACCCTAACTTCAAGTCTCCAGAGCGCACTCTGCCATTCAACCCCTGGTCAGATTTCCTAAGCACGTCCATCCACTCACACGTCACACTGACCCAACAGGAAGTCGTGCGGTTTGGGGGATCCAATGCCCTGCCTCTAGCAGCAAACAAATGAGCAGCCTGGAAACGACCTCCGGCCTCTGACGGCGCTGGAGCGGGCCTGCGCAGACTGGCTGATGGAAGAGGCGCTTCGGGAAGACTGAGAAGCGGGGGAGCGGGAGATGCTAATTGGGAGTTAATAGCGCGGATCTGGGCGGGCTGACTGCTGCGTGGACGCGACTTCATGCTGACTAGACAACCGAGAGCAGCTGCAGGGTGCCAGGCACAGCGTGGCCTTCCGCGAGTGATTGTGGGAGGTTTTCTAAACGTAAAACAAACTCCACACGGTTACACACTGCCGACTCCATCGACCTGACATCTGGGGAAGGCAACACCATGGAGACGGAAAACTCCCAGCGGCTGCCAGGGGTCAGGGTGGAGGAGTGACAGGCAGAGCAGAGAACGGGGCACTGGAGACACTCGCTGACACCACAGAGGACCCTGTTGTTATATCTGTCCCCGCGATGGGCACCACCAGCGTGACCTGAGGGGCGTGCGGACTCTGGGCGATGATATGAGTGCACTGCTCTTGGCGGGGGGTGGGGGGGTGGGGGGGAGTGCTGAAGGTGGGCATGGGTCTGTGCAACAGATAAACCGTTTTGAGGCCGGAAGTCAGGCTGACGGGTGACACGCTTTAAGTCCTTTATGTGATGTCATGTCAGCTTGGGTTTCATCAGGTTGGAGTTGGGCCGCTGGCAGAGCAGGCCCCGGGGAGTGAAGGTGCTTTGGCCTCCATCCCGATCTCAGGACTTGCTTTTGTGAAGCAAATGTCTCTGCACCCCCACCCCCATCTCCCAGTGCCCCCAGAAATGACTCGCAGTGATGGCGGAGGGAGGAGCAGGCAGGAGAGCCAAGCCTGGAAGGAGCTTCTGTGCTTTATGGAGCAGTTTGGTGGGCCTAAGAGAAGTGTTTCACTGTTGGTTGGGAAACGCAGAAGAACGACCATCTCAAAACTCTGGCTGTGTCACTTCCGGCCACTGGTGCAGGGAACTGGTAGGACAGAACCGAGAGGCACCGGTGACACAGAATTGTCCTTGTGAGCTCAAATCACTGCTGCCGACCCGTGTGTGTAGTCCATCTCCTTTGGTTCATCTGCTCTGTTACACACAACTAGGCAGTTAAAATAAACAGATTTAACGTCACTGTGTTTACATGGTCCCGGTTACAGACCATTAACTGACGCCTTCAGGAAAGAAGATGCGGTGAAGCGCACAGGCCCGCCCCTCATCCATTTCAACAAAGAGCTGCACTCAGGAAGCCCCTCCTGCAATCTGCCCCGCCCTGTGTGCCAACGCTCGCAGGTGCGGATGCCGGGCGGTGTGGGTGCGAGCAGGGCTGAGCGGTGAGCAGTGCGGCCTTGGCCTGTGGGCAGGAGCCAGCTGCGGGTGTGAGCCGCACCCCCTGCTGGGGGGCAGGCTCCAGGCTCCAGTTCCACCCTCTGCTCTCTGGGCTCCTCAAGAAAGTGGAGACAACAGCGCCCCCGCCCCAAGGTCACTGCAGATCCCATGAACGGTGCATGTGACACACTGAAGACACGTCCTCAGGGCTCAAAGCCCATCACCCGCCTGCGGTGGTTCCAGGGAGGCCTGTCATAACGGGAAGGGGATGGTGTAAGGGGAGTTGCAATAAGCGAGGCTCATTTATTCACATTCACCATCCACGTCTGCACGTCCAGCACATGTGCCCGGCGCTGGCCGGCTACTCCCTCCAGGTTTCCGCTGTTGGGATTGTTTTAGGTGATGGCCGTGCTGATGTGAGTCAGGGACTCATCGCAGAGAGCTCTGAGCCTCTGAACCAGCTCGGGGGCTGC